TAGCGAGTTCATGACTGTATTGCGATGGACTGTATTTTGCAGTTGAATGTTGAGAGTCAGTCAACCCCTAGTCCCAGGTGTCTTACATGATATCACCTACTACAAAAGCTTACCTAGTGGCCCAAAAATGTTAAGATTTCATGGTTGACTAGAAATAAAAGCGTTAAGCTATCCCAGTGGCAGCAGATCGATGTTCTGTAAGATGGACTCCATTACAGAAACCGATCCGCGGTCTCTGGGTATAAGGTTCAGTTGTTTAGCACTGACTTCAGAGTAAACATCGAGACTAACTGATAAAACTATTCAAAACTTCGAGTGAACGATGTGAGACGAAACTGTTTCATAGTAATGTACTTCTGGATGTTAAAAAGGAATCAGCAGTTGGCTGTGCTTGTTGGCACTCTCCAGTAAGGCTTAATTCCAATCATGAAGTAATTTCTGTTAACTTGGTGAATGAAAACTGTGTCAATCTGTGCTAGTGGTGGTAAGAAGAACAATCAATAATCTATGCATATCAAGACTGACCAATTCCATGTATGATAAACTAGGTTATAAAGATGAAGTTTTGATCTACTGTTACCTGAGTGACTGAAACCTGCATCACTCAACGCTAGGTTGATTCGAAGACTCAAGCACTAATCTGTGTTTGTTAGATGTTCTCGTTTCAACAAAAGCAGCATCACTCACGAGGATGCAGAAATATCTAACTAACGAGTTACAAATCAGAAGGACTGTAGGTACTGGATTCCCCTTCTGGTTACCAATCCGGTTCAATATCAAGTTGAATTAAGCGATCGTACAGGAGATTCGTATAGAAACCGATCATTTCGGTCAAAACTAATTAATAACAAGACTGTACTCAATCTAAATACATTTCGTAGGAAGTAGATATCGTCGTCATAATTCAGTAGCCAGTGTGACAAATCTAATGGATTTCAAACGATAGATGTTGCATTGCAACCAACGAGCTGTTTGGACAGATGTCAGCCATTTGAAGGAATGGATCATTTGCTGTAGTCTCATTCTGGATGGTATCACTCAAACCGATAGAGGACTGTGCAACTCATGTGTTCTGAATAGCCCAAAACACACCACTTTTATTCCACTGCTAACCGTCGATCTATAGAGCTGTCAAGTTAAAATCCACAAATGTAGATTAATTCGATCAGAGCCAACTGAAACAGCGAAACAACAATTTCTTGTATGAAAGTATACCCGTCACTGAAGAAGTGGCTTTCGTTTTTCAGTCACTCATCTGATGAATAATACTTCTATGCTTAGAGTGACTGATGTTGCATTGCAGTCACAACCACATATCCATCACTGAAGAATATCTAGCTGTACACTCATAAATAGTGTGGAATGTACGTTATGAATTACATTACCAGTCACCAATCATGAGCACTAGCAAACTGAAATAACCTAATTTACGGAGGTGTCTGCACAGGGGCACATATGTCAACAAGGGTCGATCAAATCATTTTCAACACATCAACCAAGTGAAATGAAAAATCCTAATACCGAAGTACACATGCGACAGATTTGGCTACTTAAATTCCCTACAAACGAAGATAATTCTTAGACCCTCGAAGCAAGGTGTTCTTTTTAATGGTTCCAGTGGAAAAAAAACATCGATTATTGTGGTGCAAGAACAAAGATTCTAGGGATTTAATGTAAGACGAATCACAAGCTTTAGATTTCACTGATAGGCTCGAACCCTTCCTAAAATCAAAAGTGAAGCACAGGCTACATTGAATCACTGAAACAGCAGAGTTTATGTCACGACAAGCCGATCTCTTCTCCCAAATATATCAACCAGCATTCAGCTAACTCCTCACTTCAAGTGACAAACTTTACCCAAAGAAAATTTATCAACACCTCAGTGGATAATTAACTGTCATTTGATGAGTTGAATGCTAGGTCCTAGTCTCAGTGGCGACTAAGGATCACTTGGTTGGATCCAAGAACATCCTGCTGAAGAGTTCTTAGCAAGACATTTTTCGAGTTTCGCATTCAACAACTAGCTAACATTCGAAGTGGTATCAACAGTGAATCGGGAGCTGCCTCGAAATACTCCTAGAAAAGGCTAAAATTTTGATACATACAAATCTATCGAAAAGCATATGAAACAGTTCTCATAGTAAGTGAAGGATGTTGCACAAGAAGTGGTTTCCACAACTTACTAAAGTGGGGCTTAACGTCCAGAGTGTTTAGTGAGTGCTGGGTTCCAGCATCATTGGTAACAGTATCACTAAAAGGAATGCAAGAAAATTCAAAACTAGTAAGCCTTTAGTAGAAAAAAAAGGGCATACTGAATTCCAGCGTTAATCACAAATCTTTCACAATATCAAAATCAAATCACTGGCGACATCGATGCATCTTCTTAGGAGCGCAGATGATGGAAAAACAGTGGGATCGAACGTTACTTCTGAATTCCACCCCCACCCTCCTCTAGCTACCGATTGTTATAATTACTAAAACAAATAACCAGATATATTCACTCACCTACATATGAGGCTTTGTGCTGACACATACTGGTCAATGTGGTTCAAAAAATACAAGGACTGGAAATAAGCAGTTTCCCTTTCAAAGTAAGTCTGTTGTACAAGCAGCTAATATCATGTCTCAGTAGTTTGGTGGATAACGCACCACTGATTGAATCAATGAATTTTGCCTCTGAATTTCAAAAAGAAACAGCAAAACTCCCTGAGATGCAATGACATCCAGTTGAAAAGTCTCAAATTTGATGATATGACTTTTTCTGGATTACAACTAGACCACCAATCATCAGTGGTTACAAGACCAAATCACATACTATTTCGTGGCGTCTACACTAAAGCCCAGTTTCAAACAAAAGCTGATCGATTCAATCCGAACTGCTCAACAAAGCGAAATACCAAAATCCTCATACTAATGTGCACCCTGCTGTGACCAGTAGTACGACCTAGAAGACTACGAATGATATGAACCTAATGTGCAAATGAATCAACCCCAATATATATCAAAAACATCAACCACCCCAACAACAATACCACCAACGCATGAAGACAAGAAGAGAAGACAGACCGTTGACAGAGAACAGTTCACTATCTCAACAACAGCCAATACAGTTGACAGCGATGCTGAATATAAACATCTCCATATGACCTTGACAACACTAAATCCACGTACAGTTAACAACCGATGAGAATTCAGCCTTGAGAGCAGAGGCAAGAAAATCTAACAGTGGTGTGAAAACAGTCACATAGGTTATTTTAAGATCATGGGCAAAACTAGGGATATACAGCATACGCTTTTCGCAAGAAATGAACACCGTAAATAGGTATGTTAATGAATAACACTGGCGATTGTATCGACAAATGCTGAGTTTGAAGCCTGAAGAGAATAGTATCACCCACTGAGATACGGCTATATGTAGCTAGCTGATGAGTAAGAAAACGGGAAGAAACGCATTTGCTCGATAATGCTGCTCCAGCTTTTCATCAATAATATTAGGATGAAATCAGCAGATGTTTTACGAAGTTACAGAAGAGTCCGTATACAAACATAGGCTGACTGATTCGATGCAAACCAATGAAGTAGGAACATAAAACACATTTTCTCTTTTGTATATCCATTGCACAACGAGTAGTAGTGTAGTGGATAAGTCTTTGGCGTTTGAAGTGGTTGGTGTCAGATATGAGTCTTATTATGAACAGCACCACTCACTGTGTTGTAGGAATGTGCAAGTACGACAAAAACATTCCACAGCTGACCTTAGCTTCTACAGTTTATCAAGATGAAAATATCGGTTATATCGCAGCAAATTAACAGTAGATCATTTGCCAACAGATGATGACAATTGCTGTTCAAGTCAATCATCCAATAACAGTCGCTGAACAAAATTCGATTCCTACATCGGTTGCCTGATGCATAAACTTGAGACGTTTACAAGGTTGGACACTGGAATGGGAACTAGGAAAAGGAATATCTTGCTGACACACCCAAAGTGGGATAAAATGTATGTACACAATTTCATCTTTAACCACCTTTTCCCGTTCTAAGAAAAGAAGTCATCACCTATAATTAAGCATCTGCAAAGAATACTACACACCAATATTAACCAATAAATTCAGTCAGAAATATCAGTAGCACGAAAAGAAAAGCATCATTGCCAAAGTATACTCCCTGTACACGGACTGATAGTAACTGTTTAGTTATCTATTGTATAACGTACGGTAGTCTATGGCGATTGTTGCTTTGTACGATCTCAGTGGGAATGGCATCACTCACTAGGATGAATGAAGACACAGTTGACGAGTCTCATATAAAACAGTGTCAATGTCTTCTGAATTACACTGCTTGCCAGCTGGTACCTCATTATCAAGGTGTAATCGACAGAAAATCACAAAACGTTGACATAGGTGCCCCTATGCAAAAGACACATCAACATATCAATGATATCTAAAACTAAACAAAGCAGTAGGTCACAATTCTCAACATCAAAGTATTCCCTCTGCACAAAAGGTGGCCTTCCTAATGCAGTAAGTACTCCACTGGAAAACATCTAGATGTTTGAGGTGGTAGGTGATGTGTTTCAGTCTCGGTGAACTCAGCATCATTCATTGAGATTTAGGAGACGAGTAACGAAGAGGACAAATCTCTGATTCTGCATTTAACTTCTTCCTTGTCAAATCTCATCACTGCTATCAATATTGCAGGCAGTACGGAGGCTTATGCCCACAAAGGTCGATCGATTTGATCCAGAAAAACACCAGGGAATTACAAGTATCAACAAATAATAGAAGTAATTAACTATTTACATTTCTTGTGAAGTCAAAAATGAAAAATATGGAAGGAAATCACTGTGTGACTGGAATCGAAGGGGAATTTTCACTTGAATCAGCATTAACTCTTTCACCAATTGGCGATCGATTGTCTAAATAAACAGTTAATGAGAACATTGAACGTAATTTGAAACTAGTCCATTAAACTCTTGTGAAATGAGTAAATTTCTTTCATCAATTCGTTGGAAATCGCAACAAAAGTTGACTTATTATCTTAAAACTTTCATGAAATCCGCTGTCACATAAAGATGTCAAATCCTCTTGTTGTCTCAAGGTTTGATAGTTATTTGATGTTATTCGATGATTCCATGTTGCAGGATTGAAATTCAAGGTTGACAGTCTAGGTGATCCTGGTTTAATTGAATCTTCAGCATGTAATATTGTTTTCACTTGACGTTTCCATTTCGTCCTGAAATGAAACGCAAATCATCTTGGTTAAATCGAAAAATCTGACAACTTACAATTTCTAACATTTAGTAGGAAAATATTTAAGTGAGTAAAAAAGAAGTGTAAGAACGTTGACAATCCATTTTACGTGCAACTCTCCATCCTCTACAAAATATAAAAACTCATTGACATTTTACTTTCATCAGTAATTATTTACTACAACCCTTTTCCTGTATATCGCATCTTATTCTGTATGATTTTTCCCTGTAAACTGTGCTCTTCCAATGACTGAGAATTTCTAAATCACTGAGAAAATTTTCCTCGTTGAATCAGTTCATCTGTCAAGTATGAGTGAGCTTATTTTTTGCAAAAATGACTGGCCCCAATGAAACATGAGAACATACCGATCAGGTTGTTTCCTTTCTAACTTTTACAAAATTATTCCAATTCGATGTTTACTTCCCCCTTTGATAGGATCAATGTCTTCGCAACTTTCAAAAGTCTTCGAAGTTATGTTTTTAAATGGTTGGTTGCCCGTGATGAAATGAAAACATTCAGTTTTGTAGTATTTACCACTTAACAAACACAGATATGGAAGCATTTGTTAGTATTCCGATGTGAGGGAACCCACCATTGATTTACTGAACCCGTACGTGTATGGATTGAATGATTTCTGTTTATATACTGTCTCAACTCAAAGCTTTATATACCCATTACATGAATGACTCAACTGTTTGTCTGACACAGAAAGAGAATTTTTTAACTATTCAGGTGAGATATTTGAATTTTACATATTTGTCAACAAGTTTTGCTCAGGGAACTGATCAGGGTAATCCTGAGAAGAGAAACGCGAATAGACAACTCCACTTCATGTTGATCTCAATCTCATCAAAGCAACTGATATTCTCCATCGAGATACTTAACCATAACCATACCGAATGCTAAAATGTAATACGTGGTTTCAATGATACCAGAAGTTGATAGGGATATGGTAATGCGTGACAATTTAGCTCGGTGACAAAGTCGCCAATAGTTTCATCCTTCTTCACCACCTTCCCGAAGATCGAAATAGCGAAAATTGTCTACATTTTGAAACTGCCTAGTCATTAGTGCCATTGATTTGATAAGGACCAACGGAATTCACGTTACGAGTTATCCAATTCGAAAATGCTTTTCGTAGGCTAAGATTATCAATGAGTGCTCCTCTCCAAAAAGGTTTTCACTGATCATCTGTTTCAAAGTTCCTTCTGTTTTCAGTGTACCGTTATAGCACAAAATTATGGCGTGATAAAGATGGAAGTAAGATTGATTTGCATTATCAGTATAAACATGCGTATTTTGACGAAGTTATCTTCGGATTGGAGAAGGTTTGGATATTTGCGAACTCTTTAAAAATCAAGTAACGCATCTGGGTATACCACCAATTAACATACTGATGACGGAAAAAAATTGTGCTGTTTAACTTCACTCAAAATATTAATCAGTTTTCATAATTATCATTATTCAAACAGTTGAGTAGACATGCGAGTGGATATCTTCATGTCTCCTCACACGTGTAGATTTCAGTTAAGATTCGCAGAGCTGAGTGTTACCAACTATCTACACATATACCACTGCTGATATGAATATGAATGATGACAGTAAGATAGGTAGGAAGGAGTCCAAGGACTCTATTGTACCACCACATAAAAAAGAACATCGAAGACTTGACGCAGAATTGTCAACAAGGCTGCAATTAGGCTTGCACTGAAACCTGTAAACTCACTCAGAGATCAACTTTGTCGTTGTAGGTATCCTACTGACCCAATTAAACAAAATAGTTTGATCTACCAAATATACCAGATAGAACTGTAAAAATGGGACATTATTAGTTTTGTGTCTACTTTCATATGATTATGAGCGACAAGATTTGCTTGTGTCTGGTTGCCTCCATATTTCCCAAATACATGCTAATATATGTCGAGCGATGCGGTCGAATCAACAATGAGAAATTAGGAGCAATAACATAAAAACTGTACCTGTCACACAAGGAATGACTAACTTGACTCACAGACCTAGTGGATAGCGAGCGCTCTAGCATTTGGAGCGATCGGCACTTGGTTCCAGTCTTAGTGGGAACAATATTACTCACTGGAAAGCAGGTGCATCCAACTGACAAAACCCAAATAGGATGGAACGTGCATCCACGATTCCACTGCTAGCCGCTATCCATGATTACCATCAGTGTACTAATTAAGCAAATTGACGTACATGAGCACAGAATCAGGATCTGAGTATTTCTGAGAAACGCAGAGATGACATGCAAAGTCAATGCCAGATAAGAGTCAAAAACACCTTAGACATCATAAGAGAAATGGCACAAAAGTACATTACTTTATCTTATCACTAATCACACACACCAACATGCGAAGAAATTGTGGATTGATGACACACAGGCTGACTGAAGTGTGTGTAAAAAGAAAGTTCATAAGCAGATGGCAGTTAACAAAATGTTGAAGATCTCGAAGACGACAAGGAGTGCATACACCTATATCATTGTGACTGGTTTCAACCATTTCTATCATCTTCGGGAATACACTGAGTAGTCTACATCTAACTGCATGATTAAGACAACAGTCGACTACTTCACCACTACCACCACCATTAGTTAAGTTGTTAACCTCTTCATCACCATTACCATCGTCATCGCCATCACCATCACCATCACCATCACCGTCAGCAATGACACTTTCATCATTATGCTCATGGTCAAGTTGATGTCGTAATCACTACCCACAAACTGTTCTTCTATCAATACCATAGAAGTGAAAAGAGAAAAGATAAGATTAGAAGATAACCTTGGTAATACGATAAAACGAGCATTACCAAGGTAGGCTTAGCATAAGGACAAACTATTCTTGCACAAACAATAGGGGGTTAAATTCGTTTATGGTTAGTGTTTTAACAAACCTAGGTAACATCTGCTGTAAAGGGGTGTTTAAATATCACGACTGTGACCTTTATCAACGAGATGTGTCCTGCAATGGATAATGGTGGTCTGTCACCTGCGCTTGTCGATGTCTGGGGATCCAGCTGCCTTGGTAGCCATTTTCGTACATGTTTCCATACCCTCAAGTGTGTGTCAGGATTAGTTTAACCCATGAATAACAAACAACTTGAAATATTTCCAAATCTCCAAAACTCCCTCAAAGTTCTACCTATGTATGTCTCTCCACTCACAAATATAAATTTATAAACTCAGTGGGATGTGACGCAGTCACGTATACAGCGTTGAGGTCTGTGTTGCAGCAGGTGTTGATCTTCTTAACTATCATTAGCTTAACTGCACAGTATGTTTTGCTGACAACAGACCTTAACCTTCGCCTTAATATTACGCCATTAGATTCTCCTCTGTACTGTAACGTGATGTAGAGGCATTTCTTCGAAACAGAGTAAAGACTAGGTTTCAATGCTGGCTAGCTGTTGCAGCGGTTTATGAACTCCATTGGATATCCATTTTCCACTAATGTTTCACTGAGTATTTTGATGTCATCATCCATTGAGTCTTCTGTAGAAATACTCTGGATCCTTTTAAATAGGCAACTTACCAAACCTCCCTTGTATTGGGTTGGACAAAAGCTATGGAAAATTAAGCACTGACCTGTTCAAGTGAGTTTCCTATAAATCAACCATTTTATCTTTTTCCCTTCATTATCTAACATATTCTTGAGTACCCTCATGTCATACTTGTCCTTCCCCCACTTACAGTTTTCATAAATAACACTTTAACAACGAAATGTGCAATCAGATTGTTCGAAATGTGTAGCGTAAATACATCACATTTTCCAGATAATCTACGCCATATTAGATTGTTTATTTGATATAGACAGCCCACAGTGATGCAGTATTATTTACTGGATGGCGTTTCAAGCTGAATTTATTGTCCATATTCACATCAACGTATTCATACGACTAGCAGAGTTCCTTTATATATTTCAGCAAAAAACTCAAGTGGGAAACTTAAACACATCAAGGTGACACTGCTTCTGAATAACTGTCCTCTGAAATTCATTAAAATGTTTGTAAGGGCTTAAAATAGAAGCAGTGATAGGATTAGTGATAATTGTGGCATACCTAAGAGGAAATTCAAATCGCGTGTAGTGTTACCATATCGGCAAGAAACATCAGAAACTTTACGTAGGATTCATAACAAGACAGTGATTAGGGTGACATTTAAACCCACAAACTCATTCAGAGGGGAAGCTTGTAGGCTAAATGATCTAGCAGATCCAATTAAGCAAAATAACCCAATCTATCTAATACCGTGTCATCACTGTGAGGTCAGGTAAATAGGTTACAGCAGCCGATCGGTGACAGCCAGCGTAGCAAGGCGTAAAAGCTTAGCAAAACATCGAATTATAGACCATATTAAGACAGATAATTTAGGGAGGAACTCGACTATCACTCCGCATGCAATGACCCATAATCACACTACACAAGGTTGAATAGGTTGACATTTCTAAAATCTAATGTAGCTAGGCGGAAGGTGAGATTGATCACGGAATCTTTGTTCCTCAAATCAACACCTAACACATGTAACAAGAATGATTGATCACATACTGCAGATACCTGGAAAATGTTACTATCATTAAAATAGAAGAAGGATGAACTGTTGAATTAAATAAAGGAGGTGTGAAAGACGCATAATTACTTTGGTATGAATTTGAGCAATAAATTCTACTCAAAATCCTATCATCAAGTAAATAATACTGGACCACTTTCAATGGGATATTTTCTTATGAACTATTCCACTGAAAATCAAACCTGTTCACTAAGTACTGATTTCGTTTATGCACATACTACCTTGAATGGCAGTTGGATTCATTGCTGACCACTGACCTTCGTATGAGCAATCCGATGGGTCATAATGTTGGAATTGAATAATGATGGTTGCTCAGTGTCGTCTAAGCTTTAAAATCTGTCCATGGACGTTTCATAACCAGGCTTGATGGCATCTTCACTACTAACTTCATAAGGCAGTTCACGGCAAAGTACAAAAACTGAGAGAACACTGAATCACCATCATCATCGTCATCGTCATCGTCATCGTCATCTGTAGCTACAAATCTTTTCCAATATTCTAAAAAATTCAATAACTCACCGTCGATTTTGAAACCATGTTTTTATTTGAGCTTCAGATAGTCCCAAATTGGCTGCCAAATCTGCTCGTTCGGTAACACTCAAATAACTTTTACACAGAAAACTTTGTTCTAAAGAGATTAATTGTGATTGAGTGAAGGCGGTACGTTTCCGTCGATGTACTGGTTTTTGCTCCTGTTCTCCGTGTTGACTTCGTTCATGTAGTTGTTGTAGTTTGTGGAAATCGGTTAGCTGATTTGAAGTAAAACTTGAATAAACCAAGCCTTCATTGAAGAATCTATTCACATCTACTTGTGATACAAATGACTCATAATTTGTGGGTTGATTTATTCGTGAAAATTCAACTTCATAGGTTTTACTTGTGGTTGAACTGCCTAGAATGTGAATAACGAAACCGATTTAAGTAAGATTCGAAGGCTCAAAAATATTTAACGGCAAACAAATAAGTTGCAAAATAAAATGTTTGAAATGATGGACAGCGGTTAGCAGTGGATTGCAGGACGCGCCTCACGTCCGATCTGGCACTCGTCAGCTGACTGCACCTGCCTCCGAGCGAGTGATGTTGTTCCAACCGAGACTAGAACACAGTACTGATTGCTTTAAACGCCAGAGCGTTATATTCCGAGCCCGAGTTTAGTTGGAACAGCACCAGTCACCGGGAGGCAGCCATATCCGGCTGACAACTCCCGAATAGGATGAAACACTCATCCTCGACTCCAATTCCATCTAACTTCCTAACCATCATTACTTTCCAATCAAATCAACAGGCAATATCAAGGCATCCGCATAGGAGCCCATATAGCAATATTGGCTGCTCACTTCAGCGCAATCAGCAATGGGAAATTACAAGCAATAACATTAAAATGCTTGAAGCTTGCCAAATAAGTATTGATACATAACCAATGCTTCTAACATTCCCAATATTCCTAGTTAAGAATAGCAGAGATATTGGATTTTGACATCGTTTCAACCTAGCCTTCAATTACTGACATTTACATTCTCCTTTAGAAGATAATTTACATCATCAAATCAGTGTTAATGACTATTCTCAAGTCTGTGTCCACCATATCAAAGAGTACCTTGACTCTCATGATTACGCATCAACTCTGTCACACTACAATAAATTTTCATAGGCTTGAAACCTGAGGTTATAGTTTAGAGCTGAATACCGGACAATGCTTATTGTCGTTACATCAGGTTAGTCAGAAACACTGCCAAATGTGAAAAGGCCAGATTCAACCAGTTGTGAATACCTTTGACTGGAGCATAGAAAACTTGCCAGGATTACTGTAAACTTGATAAATTAATTCAGTTTGCAAGATAATCACACGATCAAACTATGTAGGGAAATAATATTTGAAAGGTTGAAATGAGAATCTTCATGAAGATGATTACGCTGGTCATGAAAATAAAAGATAGTGCCAATCGCTTCAAACACCGTAGTATATCTTCTGAATCATAAGAGTCACCTTTTGTGCAACAGGATTCAGCTGTCATTCAATGAAACTCTTAATTGCACGCTGTCATACTGAACCAAGTTAATCGATGTCTGCTGGTATATACAGCCGTGACCCATGCCCCATGCTACAGTTTACCCTGCAGTGACTCGGAGTGAAATGTAGGATACGTGAATCATCCTACATCGATCTCACCAACTGAATGCCTCTGTAACTCAACGACTCATGATGTTCCTACTGAGACTCAAGTCAGAACTCTTTGCTTGAAGTGCCTGACCATTACTCATTAGGCTTCTGAGAAGTGAGAGCCACCACTAGTGTAACCTGTACTGTTTGGCATTCATTGATACTCTTGATTCTTGTCATTATACCGAACCGAGTTGATCAACTCCTGTTGGCAATATGAGCGTGTGTCCTGGTGACTCGATACCACATAATGATTCATTGTTGTTCGTAATCTGGATGGTGGATAGCAGTGGAATCGGCAACGCGTATTTCACCCTAATTGGGACCCGTCAACTGGATAAAACATGTTCTCACCAGTAACAGTCGAAGCCAGAATTCATCACTTCGAGGGTTACAATTTGCTTGGTCTACTAAACTTCTAAGTAATGAGATCGACCTCTTCTGTAATAAGTATCTCTGATCAATTGTTGACACTTGAAACTCACACCTGTTATACAGCTTCGGATTCATGGATCTCTGTTGTGATATGTGGTCGTCTAGGGAAACACAGATATTGTCTGGTTGTTCATTGACTTCTTTATTTCAAGTGGACTATTGACTAAGGAAAGTATAAGTCAAGGTTTCACTCAATTCTCGACCATTCGGCTTGATGTCATCATGTTCCCACTGAGGAGATTTGAAGTTAGCACCCATCACATTGGAAGCGAAATCACTGTCTACTAGGCTTCCGAGCAATGAGAACCTATTCGATGCAAACGCATATTGTTCTCATTTATTGATACTTCTAACATCTTTTTGTTATCCTGCAACTAATTTACCATTATCTGTCTTACTATGATGTGGTGTTTGGAGGCTTCGATATTGTTTGGGGATTCGCCGGGTTCACCTGCCTCTCGACGAGTCATGATATTCCGATTGGCACTTCAAGACAGTAACCGTCTCTCCGATGAACACGTAATGACCCAATATTCTCCTGAGTTACGAAAGCCACCACTTGTGCAACGGATATCAGCTGTCATGTGTTGATACCTGTTATTTCTCGTTGTCATACTTGACCAAATTTATCGATCTGTGTAGATATACGCTCTTTTTCGTGTATTCCTCCATATTATCTGTGAGTTCATTCATTTCTCTGAATCCTGAAGATCCAAAATGCTCTCACTGAGAAATAAAGCCAGCTCTCATCGTTCAGAACGCCACAGTGCTATCCATTAAGCAACTGAATGACAAGTGGTACCATTTGTGTAATCATTATCAGTTATCACGTACTGGCACGTGTAATTTCTCGCTGTTATGCTAGACCAGTTGGATCAATCTGTTTTGGCTTATCGGTTCATGCAACAATTGCTCTTCACCATCGAATATTTCACTCTGTTACATGTTCATTTTATTTTGCTTTTTACATCATTTTACTTCACAGTAGTATTCACCACTAATCAATGTCAGTTGGAAAACTACCGGAAACCTACCATCATTAGATAGGTGTTCCTTCCTAGCAAAGGACTCCTCAGCAGCAGCAGGCTCATGCACTCACACACACACAGCATTCAACAGAGGACTACTCAAATGTATTCTCATCATTAACATATGCACAAAAATATCAAGGAAATAACAACATGACTTCTTAAACATGTAAACTCACATGATCCATTCAAGTTGTCAGATTGCTGTAGAATACTGTCTATCGAAAAGGAATGAACTTTTTTATCTGATAATAATAATAATATTGTTTTGTTATTTTGATTACCATTGAACATTGAACACATATAGCGTTCTATTTGATTATTCAACAAATTGCTATATGGTATAATCAAGAATCAACCAGTCCCAATTTGAACAACTCCATGCGAAAAATTTCGTTAACTGGTTACCCCCTTTTTTCTGAAAGTGAATCATACATTTATTGCATTCGACTAGATACGTAATGCTTCACTTTCATATTTGATGCATAAATCGAGTGACCGGTTTAACACATAAAAGAAAACTCACCTTTTATGTTGATTAGATAAATGAGATTGGTGGAAATGTGGCAATGGATACGCACCACTTTCACCACTTTCACCTCTCAAACATTCCCAAATGTCGTAAGCTTATCTGTCTTCATTTATACAATTTCATTCATAAAATAAATGATTACAGCAACAAAATGATCAAGGTGTCAAATGGAGAGAAAGGAAGAAAAACGAGGGAAAGGGAGGAACAGAAGGAGGAGGAGGAGGGGGGGGAAGAGTTTAATTTAATTTCTTTTCTCTCCAATATTCTTAGTACAACAGATTTAGTTATACTGATTGTTTGTATTTAAGTGTACACTTTTTTTACTTCAATTTTTTCGATTATTTATTTACTGAGTTTCAGATGAAGAAAAATTTTATGTCAAATATTGAATGGTTCATTTATTAAATATTTATGTTAGATATTTCATTGCATAAGGTATAGATATCCTAATCCATCAGGTTTCTTGGCCTTTCTTTTTTAACGCCTACACAAGAGGAAGAAATTTCATCTACACTCCTACAACTGAATACTTCGTAAACCTGTTAAATAACTATGCATTCTCTCCCGCTGTCTCTCATATACACCCTCTGTCTGTCTCTCCCATTAGGATAATGATGTTGACAATCGGTCCCTAACTGTTGTTCATTTGATACAGACAAAAAAATTTAATGAACTGATGTATTTAGAGTAAATCAACCAATTACCGCAGGTTGCGTTGCGTTATGTCATACTTATGTTTACCGTGAATATTACTAACATGATTGTTGTTAGATATTCATTAGTTTGGTATTATTTGGTATTTATCCTAATCATATCGGTCATAACAACAATGAAAATCATGATTAAATAAGTGAAAACAACTACTTCTTCATCTCTTAATGACTATGAGTGTTTGTGTTTATGGAATAAGATCGTGCCCTTGGGGAGAATATTCTTCTTCAAATGAATGAATGAATGAATTATTTAAAGGGTGAAATATTCAACTATTATTGTCACAGTTACCATTATTCACATAAACTCAGTTATGGTCAGTATTATTGGACAGGTGTTATTATTCACTGATTAGTTAACCCAACTTGTAACTAATCGATTCAGCAGTTCGAACTCTGAAACACCTGTCCAATCATTGCACGTTGCATATAACTTACAACCTAGATATTATTCTTTTCTTTAATCAATTCGCAAATCATTTACAAATTACACAGTCCACCTTGATATTTCTCACAGTGGAATGGTTTTCCGACTGCCCAACTGTGGTGTTAGCCGACATCACAAGTTTTCATCTCTGACACAAAACTGTCATGAACTGGCCAAAGACACTACTACCAAACAATTTGAGTAGCCAGATACCACTCAGGCTGATCTGTAGTATTTCCCAAGTCAGGCAGATCAGAGTTATTCAAACAGAGGATGGCCGCCTCTCCCCCTTATGGACTCGAGTTCATCAGTGGTGAAATCTACACATCAGTTTGACTCGTTCCTAACTAATCAAGTTTAGTATGGTTCGCTAGTTCATGATATTTTTGTATCAGAGTTCGCACTTTGTGATCTTGGCTGATTGAGGGTGGTCTCCAATGTAAAGGCTGTTGAGTGACACCACAGTTGGGTAGGTGAAAACTCACTCACCTGTGAGAAGTGTCAAGGTGAACGGCGCGAGTTTTAAATCATTTGCAAACTGACCAACCTATTTTAGTAATACTGGTTGGTGCAGTTAAGTCGGCCAGTCAGATTCAGGCGATCTGAACTAATTCATCTGCATGGGCTGGATTTTCCCGGGTACAACCCCTGTTAGCTCGGCCTCAAACGAGCAAAATCGCCCTCCGGGGTCTACATTACTCTCATCCCACTGCCTAACAAAATCCACACGTCAACCTGAGTTGTTTCTAACTTCTCCAGTTTTTCAGTACTAGTTACTTTCCTTATCAGTTTCATAAACACAAACACACTTATCACGTGTGACTGTTTCTAAGCTTAGACAATTCCATTTCAAGGAGTGTTGATTAATGGGGTGGAACACACAAGTGTAAAGACTACCAAGCCAGTGTTAGTGTATACGAGTCTTCGAAATAGATGATAAAGATGTTGTAGTTGCTTACTGTCTTTTCAACTTTTCACTGATTCATCAGAGGATTTCAACTGGTGGGAAAAGTGTTTTACTTGAGTTAACCATATTTCAAGTTGGAAAAATATTTTTATGAGGCGAATGAAGATGAATTTGGTCCCATTTGGGGACCACTGACAATACTGCACATCTGATAATTGTTGAGTGTGTATAGAGTTGGTTTTTTCTGAGACTCTGACTTACCGAAGAATTGGTTTGCAATGTTTGCCTTCAATGAATGGAGAAAATGTGGATGCAATAGTCTCAGAGAATACTCAAACTTGTTTCTCATCTCAAACACGCACAATTGTGGTTAAGACAGAAGATGGTGAGCCGATTCACTGGCCACTTTATTGATGAATATTTAATAGAACAATTTAAACAGTCTGACTATTTCAGTTCAGGGATTTTTGGGCATTGATTCACTTCAACGTGGTACTTACTCATCATGAACTAAACAATTTGTAGAACCATTGAAATGCAAATCGATAGAAGTAAGATGATGTAGACAGCTGGATTCTTCTGATCTAGTGTCTGAATGATCAACATGTCCACCTGAGACTGGACAGTTTCGCGTTTCATCCTCGGTAAGTTTATTGGTTTGTACTGCTCAAGAACCACATACTAGAACAAAACAGCCATTCACTGCACGAAGCTTTTCAGCTGCTCTCCAACTGATGTCAGTCCATGTTGAATATCAGGTTAGAATCAATAAATCATCACAGACCTCCAAATTAAATTACTTTCTCATTATTGACTTTCTACCAGATCAGATTCCTCGATGTTCTAATTGGGAGGCATAACCGGTTAAGCAAAGGAAATGGGAGTGACAAAAGATATTCAACAATGGTATTAGATGAAAGTTATAATTATTCGCGAACTGACGCAGGTACAAAAATGTGGACCGTTGAATTCAGACTCAGTGTCTCAATGGTGAGATTCTTACTGTGAAACCTAAGGAATTCCACACTACGATGAAATAACTGTCGAATACTACCAGTTTTTCAGTTGTTCTTCAATGTATGTCAGTGTTTGGTGAAAACCGACTTGAAATCCGATTATTGTTCAGGTGACTACTTCATACTACCTATGCAATTTGAATAAATCTAGTTTTATTTAAAGAAGAATAATAGGGAACATAATGTTGACCGAAACTAACTTGTAAGCATAGAGGAAGACATTGACAAGCAAAATTTGTTCATCCACTCAACATTGAAATCATTTAACAAAGATGAATTAACACCTACCTATTTTAGACATTTGAAAAATTCTTCTGTCAATACGATCAAAGTAGGGGAAAGAGGAGGAGAAATGGAATTATGAAAACAGGATGGAAAACATGTAAGGTTTTCTTCAATATGAAAATGAAAAACAGATAGTACTGGAAACATCATACAGTAAGCGATACTACTGGACTTAGTGAAATATCCAACTAACAAAGTAACATACAATTCTACATTACAACATCGCCAAAGTTCGACTTGTCTAGTGATAAATTTTCAACATTATAATTTGATCTAACTGCCTTTAGATTGTTTGAAGGCAACTGACTGCCTTCACCTAACTACATAATATAAATATGAAGCGCAATATTTGATGAACTGCCCAGCTTGATGACTGGCTAGCAAAACGATCAGTAGAGTACGTACAGCATTTCGGAGTAGACAACATGAAATTGATTATTCTCCAGAGACTAATCAGTTTATAGTACTAACTTCAAATTATGAAATGATGGAAAAGAGTTGTAGCTTGAGATAAGGAAAAGAACAGTTCAGTGTTTGATGGGCTTTGATAATTTGTCGTGGATGTTTCCTCACTCGGCTTGGTGACAGCTTCAGGAATAACTTCATAAAGAAGTGAAATATATTCGAATGTTACACGAATGTTTACACAGTGTTCTTCCTGACCTTCAGTGTTGTCCGCTTGTAAGTTAGGGAAGAGATTTTTATTACACTTCGACTACTGTGACCTCATGTTGATAGAGAATCCTAGTCAGGATGAGATTGTGCTATTTTTGGTTGTCATAACGTGCTTCATTATTGACTTACTTGAACAATTTGAACTTGGTTGGTGGATGACCGATTCCCTTCCAAGTAGATTGTAGACTGGATCTATTCAACGGATCTAATTTACACTACTTAAACATTCGAATATGCTTCACCTTTTTATGAAGCTAGTGCTAAGGCTGTCACCAAGCCTGATGATGAAATGTCTACAATTAACTATCAAAGTTCAGGGAACACTCAAACACCTTTAACTTCAAATTAGTTTATCAACACGAGTTTAGAAGGGCTGAACAACCCCTAGAATCCTGCGAGCACTGGATAGATGCTTAATTTATCAGTCCGATTGACTTCACATATAGCGACCAATGAAGGTGTGAGGATGAATAACCACCAAATGTACTAGAAGATGCTCACACTATATCCCAAACTGAAAGGAGTAGAAGGTAAAATATAAGAGTAGAACTTTGATACTAGGGTAGGTTGTATGTTATTCTATTTTAGTTTCTTTACTATATGTGAAAATATAAAGCATTAGACTGCGAAATAATATCCAAGATTTCAGACCCTACATTCATTAGACGCCTAATCGAAGCTTAGGAACAAAAATTACGGGCAAACCGGACAGGTTTCAGTTCTGGCTGTGGGCGCGTTGAACAAGAATTCA